TCAATCAGAATCATTCTTGCCTCTGCTTCTCTCAAGTGATGATTTTGGGGACCTGCTTAACCTCCCCCAACATCAGTTTCTACATCCATAAAAGGATAACAGCATCCAGAAAAATTACTATGAGCCTTAGAGATGAATATAAAGCATATATAATATGGGGCAAGCCCACAAGTCTTTGTTGAAGGAAAGATATATGAGAGGATGGATGGATGGATGGATCAATGGATGGATAGATGGATGGATGGAAAAATGGTCATATTGGGAGGCTATCTTTAAACCATGCCATGTGAGGAGCAGCTGGAGAAAAGTAAGATCTTCAAAGGTTGGTATGGGAGAGGTTAAGAGGAGAAAGGAAAGAACTTTGTAAGGATGAGACTCCCCTAAAGGAGTTGACTGGTGAAGGACACTAAGAATTCTGTCTCTAGAAGGGTTCAGCTAAAGCCACAGCCCACCCCTATGAGCTGTCACAGGAGGGCCTCCCCCATTAAGAGTTTCCCAGCCTTTACTGAGAGAATCACTTTCCCATTTTGGCTATATTTGTCTACTGCTATACTGTTATTAGTTTAATCTGTACATTAAAATCACCATATTTAAAAAGAAGCATACTTTTTTTTGGTAGTGGGGATCGAATTCAGGTCCTTGCACTTGTGGAGCAGGCGGTGGTACCACTGAGCTAAATTCCTGGCCCTAAAAGAAGCATACTTTTAACTTAAAATTTTATTTGGCCTTAATCTAGGCAAAAGACCCCATTTAGAAAGCAGATATGATGTGATGCCTGTATTTTTTTTCAATAACACAGATAAACAAGTATATAATTATTAATCTGGAAGATGCTATCTGTGTGTGAACTGAGATTTAATGCGCTTAAGGGGTGCATTAAGTCCCTGCAGTGGGGAGCAATCTGTTATTTGAGGTTGCTTGAGTAATGATAATATTCTTCATTCTCGTGGTCCTTTTTGGTCTCCCAGCATATTTCATCTGTGTATTTCATCTAATCCCCATGACAACCCTGAGGGAAGAACAGAAAAGTCACAGATGGAGCCCAGCCCAAGCAGCACAGGCCCACCCAAGCCCTATAGATAGTCACAGAAGGCTGGGACTGAAGCTCAGCGCCCCAATTCTTCATCCTGCCCTCTGCTCCACTACCACATGCTGCACAGCCAACTCCATTCTTAGTGTTCTCCCAATCTCACTAGCAAGAACAACCCGTATGGAAATCAGGCTCTCTAGACAGACAATATGCCCTTCTGGGACCCAGAATGTCACCTCAGCAACTGGTGATGACCTACACTGTCATTTGGCCATCTGGCCATCAGGAGGCACCATCTACTGAAGCTGTCAGGAATACTAAAGGACAATGATAGGGACATGTTTGCTTGATGGCTCCCATGAGAGGGAAAGCTCTGGCCAGAAAGCCCTCTTGGATCACACTGGCCAGCGAAAAGCCCCAGAGGTGGAAACCTGGCCGAAGAGGGCTGGGGGAGAGCGTCTCTGGAAATAGGTGGGACCATCACATGCAGCAGAAATGCTGCTGCACAAGAGATGGGGACCATGGATTACATGGCAGCAGCTGCCAAGGAGCACACATGGCCTTCATCAGCCTCAACACATCAGCTCAACCATCTGAAGTATGAGTTGGTGGCAGCACTGCCTTCTTTGTCATAGCCTAACAAGAAGGGCTACCAGTTGTCTGCAATGGTAACCCTGTGCACTCCTGACACCTACCTTCACTGTTTCATGCATACTGGCCTGGCTGGGACAACAGGGCCACTGAGCAGGTCCTCAATAAACATCAGTGAAGCAATGTGGCTTTAGACCAGGGATGGTCAACCTGAAATCTGGGGCTCATCTTCAGAAATCCCTAAATTCTCTTGAATTACATGCCCAACTTTGCACATCAAACAATTTTTCTGGGTTTCTCACTGCCATATTAAAAAGGCCAAGTCCAGAACATAAAAATCTTAATTCTGAGCTCCAGGCCCTCAACTTTCTTGCTTACTTGTCCCATGCAAGAACTCAATGGAAGTTTACAATGACTTCAAAAGAACTGAGAGGAAATCTGAGAGCTCTGACCCACTGCTTAATCTATTGTATTCAAGTTTTATTACCTGCACCCCAAAGCATCCCCTTTGACTCAGCACTACAGGGCCCAGAGGCATTATCTAAGACTATGAGGACAGGGCCTCCGAGTTCACCAACAAATTCCTCCCAAAGCTGAATTCTCACCTTCGTCCCCAGACCATGAGTTCTTGCCAGATGACCTAGATCACAGGGAGCTCACCCAGCCCGTTCTTTTTCCTGATCTCAGACAAAGGTGCAAAAACCTCACAGCTGGCTCATGCCTGCATGGGCTGGGCAGTTAACAGAGCCTCTGGAACTGAATGTACACCCTCTGGACACCTGGGAACATTCCAGCTTTGGATAAAAACCTGCTCCCACTTAGTCATATGAATATAGTTTGAACAAACTCTACATTGCTCATGAGCAGGTATGTTTTCAATCACTGTCAGGGAGGCACACGCTGGGGCAGCTCACTGGTAGAACAGATTGCAATGACTACACCAGATGTAAAACAAACACTGAAGGCCACATTTCCCTGAGAACTCACTAGACCCTGAAGGCTGGTCAACATGTGGTTCTGACCAGTCACCTCAGGAACTCAATGTATTACAGCCTAGCAGTCCTTCTTGGTTCCAGGCAGTCACTAGTGCTCAGGAACCAATAATGGACTTGTCACATTATAAGAAAGTGAGATATCTATGGGTAAAGCTAATAATAAAAGTTACACCTGTCACAAAAGTGTCTCACATAGCTGAAAGCATAAGATGTATAAAATAGAAACTGTTTTATGCAGGAGCAAAGCTGACAACCATGGAAGATAATCATCTGCCTCCCCAGTGGGTGCTGACCACCCTTTCCTCCTAAGAAAACACCAAGGTGACCTATGGGAGCTTCAGTTAACACCAGAGCACTGCGCTTGCTCACCATTTCTCCCTCACACAGGCTGTCAACACTGAAAATTCCAGAGTATCAAAGTCTCCCACCCTGGCAAAGAAAGGCCAACTAGACCATAAACCACTGACAGAGATGCTACCCAGCTGCTGGGCAGTATGAACAGACCCAAGGGTGAAAACTATGTCTCAAAACATTTTCAGTCCCAGTGAGCAAACAATTTACAGGAAATTATGAGGTTCAAAAAAATGTTAGCAGCTCAAGTTTCTTCTCTGGAAAAAGACGCAGGACAAACTCTAAGAACTGTCTCTGTTAAAGTGCTTTATTCACTGCTAAGCCTTGACACATGTCAGTTATTAACAATACACACAGCCACCACCTTGCACTTCAACCCACCACGCATGTCAGCAGAGAATGCTAAATTATCAGCACATGACACAGGCTGCCCCAGAGCCCAGCACCACCAGACCCTCGAATCACCGGCCAGAAGAGACACATGGCCCAAAGCACGGACTCTGGATACTATCGCAGACAAGTTGCTGACCCTTTCTAGCCCCAGTTCCCCCAACTGTACACAGGGATAAAACCTTTCAGGAGGTGTCCTGTCAAATTATGAGCAAGCCACATCAAATGCCTGGTCCTTGTGAGCCTTGCTGTTATGGCAGTGAGGCCTCCAGGCTTTTAAGTCTGATCTGCTTACTCCTGCTGCCCGGCAAACCTCTGTGGAGGCCACAATGTGAAGTCTCATCAGTCATTCTACCTGGTTCAGGACAGGGTGTGAGTCCTGGAGAAACAAAAACCACTGTAGGGGCCTGTGTGGGAGGAGGGGCAATCTCAAAACCCCAGGAAGTGGTCTTCGTCACCCTCTCCAGTCTGCACCTTGCCCCAGGCCAGCACCCACCTCAGGTCTATCTAGGGTCTAACTGGGTAAACAAGGGCCCACGCTACAGCACGGCATCACCAGTCCTAGAAGGCTTTCCCTGACCTCCCTCACTAGAGGACTGGCCCCTGAGTACACCCAGCACCCCTGGGCTTCCCAGATCCCACCACTGACCACGCTCCCTTGTCGCCTTTCCCGGGGCGGGGGGGGGGGGGCAGGAGCTGGCACTTTGTCACACATGATGGGCACCCGCCCCTTCAGTTCAATGTATGAGTCCAGGCCCCAGTTGTGACCAGAGCCCCAGCTCCCCAAACCCCGGGGAGGGCCTCAGTGAAGAGTGGTTTGTAAAGGAGGCTGGTTTTTATTATTCAGATGAATGACACCCCACCCACACTCCCAACCCCCGCGGATCCCTGCCCTCCTTAACGCCATTTTAAAGGGGGAGAAAGATCTCTCCTCCCGCCCCGAGTCCCGCTGCCCAACTCCCACCTCCCGGCCGGCTCCTCTCGGGGCAACCACGGAACCCCAGAGTGATTACCATGATAGGGTCTCGGGTGGCAAGCCGGCCCTCCTCAGCGGGGTCTCGGCCGCGGCTGATTTCTCGATCGCACACCACCACGCCTGAAGCTCGTGATGGGGGCAAAGGACCACGCATAGACGTCCCGGCTCGCAGCCCGCGAGGGGAGAGCGAGGCAGAGGAGCCCGGGGGCGGCCACACCTCCCGCCCCGAACAAAGCCTCGCCGGGCTGGGGACGGCGCGGCCCGGCTTTCCCCACTTGGAGGCTGCCCGAGCACTCACTGCGCGCTCCGGTCCCGGCTCGGCTCCTGCCCTCAGGCCGCCTCCTCTGCGCCCGCGGGCCCGGCGTCTGCCGGACGGGCTGCTCCACGCCACCCACCCGCCCACCGCTCCCCGCCCCGCGCCGCCTTAAAGCGACCGCGCAACCCGCGCGTCCCGAGCACCCGGCGCGCCGCGCATTCCTTATATTGCAACAGCGCTTGCTAAAAATAGAGCGCCACGGCGCGCGGCTGGAGCTCAGCCCCGAGCCCAGGGATGCGCGCCGCGAGACCTCGGGCCCACGCGTGCCGGGTCCCCAGGCGGCCAGGGCGCGCAGGCCGGCCACAGGCCTGGCCCACTCCTCTGCACCCCCCCTTGGGCCCGCGCACTTACGGCTTTAAGGAGGATGCAGGGTGGGAATTCCCTCCGTCCTCTTTAAAAAGCTTCAGTGCTGCAACCTTTAAATCTTTGCTGTGGCCTGGGCAACTTCTGAGTCTGTGAACGCCGCCTCAGTCCTAGGCGTCCTAGGCGATCCTGGCTCCCACTGGACCCGCGTCCCCTTGGAATCCTGAGACTTCTTTTTTCTAGGTCCTGTTGCCAGCGTCCTTTTCCTCTCAGACCCTCCGGGTGCACTGGGGCGGGGCCCAAAGTTCATTTGGTTGGGTGCGAAGGGAACACACAACACTTGCGCGCCATTTCATTGTTTCAGTTCTGCTAACTCCTCTCCATTCATGTCATTTTCTTCGCATTTAAAAAAATTGAGATATAATTCACATACCATAAAATTCCACCTTTCAAAGTGCGCGATTTGATGGTTTGAAGCATATTCATGAAATTGTGCAGCCATCACTACGACCTACCACCAGAACATTTTAATCACCCCTCCAATGTGGTAGTCACTCATTCTCCCCTCGACTCAGCCTTGGAAACCACTAATCTACTTTGCAGTCTCCATGGATTTGCCTATTCAGGACATTTCTATAAATGGAACCATACAACATGTGGTCTTTTATATCTAGCTTCTTTCTGTAAGCACAATGTTTTCATGGTCTATATGCGTTTTCTTGCATGCAACTGTACTTAGTCCATTTCATGGCTGAATAATATTCTATTGTACATACATAAAGCATTTTGTTTATACATTGATTAGCTGATGAATATTTAGGTTTCTGCTTTGCAAATTATTGTGAATAAAACTGCTGTGAACATTCCTATACAAATCTTTGTATGAACATAAGTTTTCATTTCTCTTAGACAATATCTCAAAGTGGAATTGCTGGGTCATGTGGGTAGTTCCTTTTGGAAAAACAATTTGTTTTTCAAAGCAGCTGCACCCTTCTACATTCCCACCAACAATGTTTGAGGGATCCACAGTCTCCATATCCTCCCCAACACTTGTTATTGTGTGTCTTTTTTTTTATTAGCACCATCCTGGTGAGGGTGAAGTGGCATCTTGAGGATTTGATTATCATTGTCATTTGTGAGGACTTTTGTGTGTGTGCACGTGTGTGTGTGCGCGCGCGCCTTGTGTGTGCCTTGTGTGTGCCTTGATGGCTTGGAACCAGCTATACACCTAGGGAACCTATTCTCTTCCCATTTTGAGAACTTCTCCTTCCACTCCAGACCTGAGGGGACCTCACTACTCTGAGTCCTGCAGCCCATGGTGAGGCTGCCACTGGCATCCCAGCCACAGATGCAGCCATTCAGTGAGAGCTGCTGTGCCCCCCATGTCTCCAATCCCATCTGCTCCTCTCAAGGCCAAGTGGACCCCAGAAAACCAGATTGGATGCCACTGAAAACATCCCACCTTGCCAGTAGGGAGTAAAAGAAGTGTCTGGGAAGGGAGCTTGAGGAAACAAGTTCACCACCAAGTCTTGGCCTGGAACCTGCCTTTTGCTCCCCTTTCCATTTACAGCAGGCCATGAGGAAGGTACATATAAGGCATTGTTTGTCTGTCTGTCAACCCTTCACTGGCTTCTTCTATCAAGAGTTATCGCCTCCTCGGCCCTGACAGGGACCATAGCCTGGTGCCCTCAGCAGGGCTGAGACATCATCTACACGACAGTCAAAAGGTATATGGATATTGCTTCCATATACAAATCTCTAATAAGATGTCTTCTCAAAAATGGAGTTTACACAGCTGATGGTCATACCCAAGTACCTGGGATTCTCCAACAGGCTGCCTCCTCTGCTCTTCAGAAGTAAAGCTGTGGCTCAATTGCTGGCAAACAGGGGCTTTGGAGACAGGGAGACAGGATAAAAGCAAGGCCTGGATTTGAGAGTTCATTCACTCAGTAAACACTGCCAAAGCATCCTCTGAGTGCCTGCATTGGTTTAGAGAACAACCTCCCAGGAAAGTGAGTGGCAGCCAAGAAAAGTGCAGGGGACCATGGGAGCTCAGAGGAAGGGTACTTGGCCCAGGGTGGAGAGAAGAAGGCAGTGGGAATGGATGGCTAACCCTGGACTCTAAGGACAAATAGTACCTTCTATGTTGAAGCCTGATTGAGCTGAAGTCTTTCCAAAAATTCCAGCAGATCTTCATGGTTGATCCGATGTATATGAGGCATGGTAGGAGGTCAGACTCCTGGCTCAGAACCCAGGCAGGGATCAGGCTTAGTTTACATGCCCCAAGGGCCAAGGGCAGCCACTGGGCCAGGAGCCAATTCCTGGATAGGGCAAAAGTCAGAACTGCTGGGCTTCTTAGGAGGACCTCCCCAATTAATGACAAAACAAATGTGTTTTATGCACTGCAGTGTCCTATCCTTGCTTCTCTGCCCCAAGGCTTGGTGAATGCCTAATGGTCTAGTGGGGAATGCAGGAGGACCTGGGGACTCCAGGGCTGGAAATCAGCCAGGTCATTGTGGCCCAACTTTCCTCTCTAACTCTATCTCCAGTATAGTCTCTGAGGGAAGAAGTAGCTGTGAGTTCCTGAGCATTCATGAATGATGTGCCAGATACTGGGCCTGGGGATGGGTCTACACACCTCCAACTACTCTTATGTTGAAAGCCTTACCAGCCCTCCTGGCAGAAGAGACCATCTGTCTAATCCTACACAAGGGTGGACTGATCAGAAAGCCTGTACTCTCTCTACCATGCCAGTGGCCACGATGGGCAGGTCAGTTGTGTGTTTGGCTGGTGTTGGGGAAGCAAGAAAAGATGGACAAGAAGGAGACCGGCATTTGGTTTAGTTTCCTAGTCACAGCTTCTTCAGACTATGTTCAGCTCTTTCAGTGACCTTGCAGCACCAATAATAGATTATTAAAAGAAGCTGGTCTCAGCCCCATGGTGACCTCTCTTCTGAGCCACATACTGTATAAGGCTCTTCTTCCCTTGCCATTGAGTTAGCACCAAAAGCTACATCTGCTCTCAGGGTTTCCCAGCCCAGTCACTCCTCATCCTTGCCTTCCCTACTAACACCTCTTTACCTGCCGCTTCTCTGGTCTCCTTGGGAGTAAGGCTTCACAAGGTTTTCTTCCCGCACATGGACTCCTTCTTTCTCTCTGGAGCTAGAAGTGCAACTTCTGATAAATCTTCCACCCACTTCATCATAAACGTTCTCCTAAGGATTGTGCACACTCAACTAATATGTTTGTTTTTCTCCTTGTTGTCTCTTCCTCCATTTAAACAAAAGTCTGGTGGCTCTTAAACTTTTGAGATTGCAACACATCAGAAAAAATAAGTTTTGTATTGCAAATCAGAACACATGCACAAGTCAAACAAAAGTTTCATAGGACAATACTTACCTCTATTATTTGTGATGCACTTTGACCTATTCTATTCTATGTTATTAAAAAGTACTAGCAGACTTCTGAGAAGATACCGGAGCAGTAAACAGCAATAAATCAACCTCTCCCAAGATTCAGAATCCAAACACTGGAAAATAACAACTTGGAGAAAAGAAGGAGGGAGGTGGATGCCCAGGACCCAGGAAGGATCTGAAGGAAAAATTGGAGCCCTCAGAGAATGTAAAGAGACAGACCACAATGCAGAAAAAGGAGGGGGCAAACTGTACTTTTTGCCTAGGTCTTGGCTCTGAGAGAGAGAGAGAGAGAGCTCATATCTAAAGAGACACAGTGAGGGCGTGTGACTACAGAAGCCTCCAGGGAGAAATGTACCAGTGGAATAGAACAACAAATGCTGTGCACTACAACAGCTGGTAAGTGACTCCAGTCCACTAGAGTCTCCCCTGAAGAGGGGCCTTGGTCAATCATCATTTTAGGGAGGGGCCTAATGACTCTGGGACTTGGAACAGCCATGGGTTGGCTTCATCTCAAGGCTCCTAGTGTTGATATCACACATTGACTGAATGAGGAATAACCACAGGAGTCATTCAGGAATAGGGAACTGAGATCAGACCAGCAAGAGACACCCAGAGTGTTGTAGGCTGAACAACTCAATCCCTAACCCCACAACCAGAGGCTAGGATCAGCCTGAACTTCTGTGAAGTTGAAAGCACCAGAATCAGCACTCCACCCAAATCCTACTGCAGGTTTGTTGGGGTCATAAGCATAGATCTGGGGTCTGTCTTCCACCTTTGTCTACCAGTAACAGCAGGGACATATCCTGAATTGGACACCACTGCAAAAATGTAGACCCCGGAAATAATTACAGGCTTGAAAGTGCAGAGAAATCTCTTTGCTTTTTGATGCTTTTTGGTTTTTACCTTGTTTGTTTTTCATGAGTGTGAGTATTGGTTTTAGGTTTTTTGTTCTGTTTTGTTCTTGTTTTTCCTTCTTTCTTTCCTCCTGTCTTCTTCATCAGTTTCCCAAAGCTTTGATAATCTTCCTTTGTTCTTCAGCCTTGCTTCTAATCTCTTTCTCTTCTTTCCTCTGGTTTTTCTTCTTATCCTTTTTTGTTTTTTTTTTTTTGGTACTGGGGATTGAACTCAGGACCTTACGCTTTCGAGGCAAGCAGCAGCACCACTGAGCTAAATCCCCAGCCCTCTTCTTATCCCCTCCAGTCCTCCCAATTTACAAAGATTTTGTTCCTATTTTTCCATTTTCTCATATTAATCCCATTCCCTTCTATCCTTTCCCCTA